TATTTTGAAAGAAAAGACGTAAAAATCAAAATCCCAGGAAAACAGTAAGGGATTAGAACTAACCTTAGAAAGGGGGATTTGCAAAGTGGTCCGTAACAAAGCGAAAGTCAAAGAATCGCAAGGGTAAAACTCGCCGGAGAAAACAGGGAAAGCTCGCCGGAGAAAACAAGGAAAGCTTGCTGGAGAATACTGGTAGTCGACAGGGATAATCGAAGAAGATGATGCTTGAGGATGGAGGTGAAAAAGATAGAAGAAAGGCAAAAAGTGGGAAGTTTGGGTTTTTAAAGCGAAAATGACTCAACATCCAAGGAGCTATGGCAATAATGGTGCAACGAATCTCAAAGCATGGGTCTCTGAGCCAACCATTTGCTTCCCCATGTCACCGCCTCAAACCGTCATGCCATGATTGTGTCCTTTCAATAATCTCACCTTAATTAATTAGGGAGAGATTATAGGGGCAGCTGAGGATACCAAAAGTGACCTGGGCTGGGCGTGACCCAAATTGCTAGGAATGGGTCGGGTAAAAATAATCAATCCAAACTAAGTCCTTATAAATCAGGCCCAAGACAGGAAGATCACCTTGGAAGCCCAATTTAAGATGCAAGGAAGTGGGCCCATAGTCGAGATGAGCCCAGAAGATCAGCCTGACGTAATGAGTTAGTTAGAAAGCTTCTAGAATGATTGTAACAGTCTATAAATAGACTGAAAAGAAAGGGAAAAGGGATTAGAAAATTTTTGAAGTGTAGAATTGTTCTTTCTAAATCGAGAAAGTATTTTTCTTGCATCTTCAGCTGTAATTAATCAGCTCAACAAAATTTTCAGTGCATTCCTTTGGTTTGGGCCAGAAATGAAGTCCACTTGTGCCAAAGTTTCCTGGGGTAAAATTTGTAAACCAAAGGAAGCAGGTGGGTTGGGAATTCCCAATTTGAAGTTGTGCAACAAGGCTGGTGTACTTAGATACATTTAGGACCTTTAATCTGAAGACTCAAACAAGTTATGGGTCAAATAGAGTCACACACACCTCATCAAATCTAGGAATTTATGGACTCTCACCTTTCCACAACCCTGCTCTTGGAGTTAGAGGAAGATTCTGCAGCTGATACACCATGCAAGATCTCTTATTAAACATATAATTGGTGATGGCAATGGAACATCCTTCTGGTGGGATAATTGGGCTCCAGGTGGTCCATTATACTCAAGATTCCCAACTTCCATTCTATCTGATGCTGGTGTTAATGAGGATATCAGTGTGAGTGCTTTCATTATCAATTCCACGTGGTCTTTCCCAAACTGCATCTCCATTGCAATGCTAGAATTGCAATCTCTTAACCAACCATGCTCATCAAGAAGAGATAAGAAGATTTAGACTATTTCTCCCACAGGTGAGTATAGTTTAAAACATACCTCAACATAATTTGTAGGCCAATTACCTCATGTCCTTTGGTCCAATTTGGTCTGCCAATCCCTAACAATTCTGAGGATGAAGTTTAACCTATGGCTAGCAGTTCAATCAAGACTGCCTACACTGGATAACTAATCCATGGCACAACACCAGAACATAGGTGTGCTATGCAGCCTCTCAACCGAGTCCCACGATCATATTTTCTTCAATTACTGTTTCATCTCCCCAATTTGGAGATTTATCCATAACAAGATTCATTTCTACTCTTTAATTCGTAATTTGGATGATTTGGTTCATTTAATTAGCATCATTTGGAAGGCAAACTCCCCAGTAAACCAGCTTCGCAAAATTTGTTTATCAGCTGTGGTCTATTACACATGGGAAGAACGAAATGCTCGAATCTTTCAAGGAAAGAAGGCATCTCAGAGAGCTGTTCTAGCTAAGTTATGTTATACCATTACCTCAATCCTCAAATTAAGGTTTCTAAAGGATTGCACAGCCTCACGTAGCATTCTATCTGACTGGAACCTCTCGCCATCTTACTGCCGTCCTCCGTCACGTCCATCGGATTGAGCTATCTTCAGTCCTTATCCAATGGAGGGCAACATCTTCATTTACCGGATTGTTTGAACTACTAACCTACATTAACGGCTTTTAGGCCATTAATTAGGGTAGTTAGTTTTGTTTAAATTGCTGGGCCATGTTCTTTTGTTAGCATTTGGGCTGGTCCTTTAGTTCTCCATCTTGGGCTTGTTTGTCCTCTTTTTGGACTTGTTCTTTCCCAGCTTTGGGTCGTCTTTGCCAAAGGCCCTACTTGTACCTTTTACATTATAAATATCAGTTGCTTCAATTTTCGGAAAAAAAAAAAGGTGCGTTCTACTCCAGTAGTACTACTGTACTACTAGTATATGCGTTTGCAACTCTTATCATCGAACGAGGAGGAGATTTTCAAGAAAGGCATAATCTATAATATAAACCTTTCGCAATTGAAAATCCAAACCCTCAAATCTCAGTAATGATTTGAATATGTGTTGCACATGTATTCATATGCTAAGATTTATATATATGTGTGTGTGTGTGTGTGTGTTTGTAAATTTCAATGCGATTTTACGTTTTTAACGTATATCTTGAAAATACAATTGTAGAATCAACATGATCACATGGAATTTGAAATTTCTCACTCATCTCTATTATTGAGGGCTAGTCTGTTGGTGGTGTTAAGGAATAAATTTATAATTTCCATTTTTTATCAAGAATTTTGAAAGATTTTGTTTCGGCATTACTCGGGTGCTAATTATTTTTTAGGGTTAATTTCATAAAACCCCCACTACTTTCAAATTTTGATCATAAACCTCCAATCTATTTCAAAAAAACCCCTATACTTTAAAAGTGATCACATTGTCCCAATATCCGAGTCGAACCCATTAACTGGACTGTAAAATGACAAATTTGACCTTACTATTTAATGTAATTTTGTAATTTAAAAAATAATAGTAAGGTCAAATTTTTAGTTTTTAATTTAACATTAAATAGTAAGGTCAAATTTGTCATTTCACAGTCCAGTTAACGGGTCGGACTTGGATATTAGGGCAATGTGATCACTTTTTAAAGTATAGGGGGTTTTTTGAAATAAGTTGGAGGTTTATGATCAAAATTTGAAAGTAGAGGGGGTTTTAATGAAATTAACCCTATTTTTTAATTTAGTTATTGTAATTTTTGATGCAGATTGTGATAAATTTTTGAGCATCGTGAGTAGAAGGGAATGGTGCTACGGCTGGCAATTGGGGATCTTCACATCTCACACTGGGCACCTGATCTGCCTTCAAAGTTCAAATCCAGGCGTGTTTCTGGCAAGATCCAGCACGTCATTTGCACCGGCAATCTCTGTAGAAAAAGTACCACACTTCTTCTCAATCTTTTGAATATTCTTTTTCCGGGTTTGTTAGTGTTTTCGTAATTCTGTATGTTTACTTTTTGGCTTTAATCCTCTTAGAAAATGTATCTTTTTATTAAATTATAACTGATGCTGGAACCAGTTTCTGAATTTCATTCACACCACCCAAATACCTGATGCATTTGATTTTTCTTGTTTAACCATAATTTAATCTGTTTGTGTCAAAAACACAAAATCGAGCTTGATTGCCAGAAGGCATGAAATGATTGTGGTAGCTTGATATATATTTTTTTCTTTTTATGTTAATTATTTTGGTAGGTGTCCCAACTACCATTTGATTGGGGTTAAACTGTGCAAAAATGTAATTTTTATGGCTTGACAAACACTCGAAAGGACCATGCTTGTCGAGTTTGCTTCTCTTGGAGTGTTTATATTAAGTTTCAGTTAGAGCAGGCATACGAGATGGTTTTGATAGTTAGCTTTAACTTTCCACTGTTGATTCTGTCTTCTCAAAGCTCTCGCGTGTATTAGTTGATGTGAATACACACCTACAACAATTTAAATTCTGTTGACATTTCTTCGTAGCAGAATGTCATGAAAGTTGCGGTAGAAATAGAGTATGGCAGTGTTGCCAGAGTTCTTCCATCGGTCACGTTAAAAGGAGAGAGGAGATTGTCCCACTGTTAACAGTCTAGCTATCTAGAAAGGCTGACAATGGGATTGGTCATTTTGTTGCAAAAGAAATTTTGATGCTGAACTGATTCCCGAAGCCTATATGGCCCGTATAGACCGTCAGAGGGCCAAACGGGCATGCTGACAGGTTTTTTTGGACTGATCTTGAAGTGTTCATTTTTGACCCAAAAGGAAGTTTTTTTTTATACTGGAAACGGCCGAACGAACAAGACTCACCGCTACGCCCTGATGTACGCCGTTTTTCGGCGAAATACCATTGTTTAGGGCCTCAAAACAGGGTTTTCGTGTTATGTAGGAGGCCTGCTGAATATTTTGGAATTTTTATTCGTTGTCTAAACGAACTTGGATTGCTCTCAAATTTTAGATTTATTAGTTTTTATTGATTAGATTTCTTACTCTATTTTTTCATAATTATTAGAGAAATTTTATATTTAGGCTTATATTTGAATGTTAATTTCTTCCAAGATTAGATTTCCTTATAGTTTCCGGTTGCAATTAATTTCCTTATGATTTAGGATTTTCCTTTCATTATAAATACATGCAATGCAGAGAGCATAACCATTTATTCAATTATCAATACAATATTAGATTTTTTTCCGAATTTTATTTCTTAACTTTGAGGATTCAAAGTTGTTTATCTTTCCTGGTGAACAATCATAGCTTCCGTCAAATTTTTAGGTGTTACTGAAATTTGTAACGGGCATCCTTGCCACATATCTCATTAGCATCTTTGGGCAGTGAAGATCTCGGTTCTAAAATTTAGGTTTTCCTTTAATTAACATGAAGTGTAGATAATAGAACCATACTGACAGGAGTCATGTAGCTTTAGTAGACAAATAAGAGAAGCTTCAGTGAATTGTTTTTGTTATATATATATTAATTATTGATTAAAAAGCAACAGGATAAAAACCAAACTACTAGTGGATTTCCCAATGTCATTACTGAGTGACACAGTGATTTCCCCCCCCCCCCCACTAGGCTGGCGCAAAACATCTTGAGACACTCACCAAATTTAATGGATCAATTGAACAGATGAACATCTTGATTTATTAGACTACCAGTAATACAAATGCATAAAGTCAAATAACTAGTGGAAATCCAGCAAGCTAGAAATTAACCCTATCATTCTGTATTTTGTAGTGACTAATACAAAGATTACATGATCAATTGATCAAATATGTATCTTGATTCATTAGCTGCGATAGTGAGATTTTCTGCAGAGGTTTAGTTAGTGAGTACCTGCTAGCAAGAAACTCCTGAGAGATGCGCAGCATTGTCGGCCGAGACCTAGGTTTAGAATGTAAGCAAGCAAATGCCAATGTAGCAACCAGAACAACATCCCGTGCAACCATTCCTCGTGGTGGAGCTTGGAGCCGTGCGTCTAACACATCATTTAGCATTATACTCTGAGTAGATGCTGATGCCAATGATTGGAGAAGTTCTCCCGGATGCCTTCCCATGAGTGTTTCTAGTGCCACAACTCCAAAGCTATAAACATCACATTTTTCAGTCACAACCATGGTGAAGGCAAGTTCTGCAGCAACAAAGAAGTCCGAAGAGCAAATCAACCTTTTTATTTTCATCCCTTTGCTGGTAAACATAGAAGTAAGACATGACAACTTTGCACATGTATGTTGTAGATTTTACTTGATTCCATTTCATCCTTAATTTTTGTTCTACTAAAATATTCTATTTGTTTGGTAAGTTGAGAGTCAATGTATTTAATTAATTATAAAGATAAATAGAATAGTGAATTTGTTAGTAAATACATGTAAGTTTTTGTGTTCTTCTTACCATTCTGCTGATGGTGAAATGTGAATTATTCTGAATTAATTAATAGGTTGCCTCTGGGCAGGCTGGAAAGAACTAGCGCCAGTACATAATCATCAGCATAGTTAGTAATAATTAAAGCCTTCAAGCTCACATGTGCTGGCAAGAAAAAGTACCTTGCAATGTTTTATCACTAGATACATGCGTCTATGTGAGTGTATATATACGTTTTTAAGTGAAAATGTCCTACCTAATAGACAATTGCTGTCTAGAAGCACGATATTTTTGTAAAACATAAAATTAATTTATTTCAGTAATAAAGGCATGACATGATGACACCATTTCCTTCCGCATGAGGAAGGGTATGTACAATTAAAAGTAAGGTGCAGTAATGTACCTGGAGCAATATATCCATAAGTGCCCGCCATTATGGTTCGGTTGGACGAATTTGGTTCCAACAATCTAGCAGTGCCAAAGTCAGACACACGAGCATCCAAATCTGAATTTAAAAGAATGTTGTTACTTGATATGTCACGATGAAGAATGGGTGGATTGCAATCGTGATGCATATAAGACAAAGCATGGGCAATTCCTTTGATCACATTCACCCTCTTAATCCAATCCAACTCGAGAGCTTCAATCTCATTTCTCAAGACCAAAAAAAGGCTTCCCCTCTTCATGTACTCATAAACCAGAAACATACATCGATTGTGTAAGCAGAATCCATAGAGCTTCACAATATTTCGATGCCTTATTTTTGATAAAATGCTTGCCTCATTCCTAAAACTTTTATCGTAAGCTGGCACTTCACCTTCCAAACGATGAAGTTTCTTCAAGGCAACTACTTTCCCACTAGGCAATTGTGCTCTATAAACACTCCCATAACCTCCAGTCCCAATGCAGTATTTGATGTCGAAGTCATTTGTTGCTTCGATGATGTCTTCATATGCAATTCTTCCATCAAAATTCCATATTGAGAATATATCTCCATGCTTCGTTACCCTTGGTTGTGGTTGGCCTTTTTTCAGCTTAAATCGTGAATAGTAGTACAACAGTACTAAACATGAGACAAGGAAAAATGAGACAGGAAGAAAAATTTTGACAAAATTGAGAATAAAGGCCCTGTCATATGTGGAGTCGTCAGACATTTCAGACATTTCGCGCACCAGCCACTACGAGCTTCTGCTTCCAATTCATTTGGTTGCAGGCCTCATCGCAACCCAATCGGACTTTTAAGAGTTGCACCTTCGCTAGGGCAGCGGGGTGAAGGTCTTCCCGTCGCCAGCTGGCCTGTGATGAAGTTGTCTCCACGGCATAGGGTCTTTTCATCAAGTCAAGCTGATTGATACATTATTAACGTATCTGACAAGGCAATGATCTTTCCTTTTATAAATGCTACAATGTCTCTGTCCTTGGACCCGTAAGCAACACTTTGGAAAAGTCCCAAAGAAGAGTAACAAAGTCTAACCAGTTATCAATATTCACTGTAGAAGTTATAAGCATGGTTCATATTTCATAGAATAGTATCAGAAGCATTAGTCGTCTCTATTGCAATTTTCACCATGTCAATATAACGAACGTCTCCTCAAAATTTATGTAGGTTTGACCCATAAGCATCATGTTTGGCCAAGCCATACCAAGGAATATAAAGGGACACGACAAAATTGTGCACTCAAAAAGCATCCAAATTATACAACCATCTCTTCTTAGAAATATTGAGAGAGGTTTGGAAGGTCACAAAACTTTACCAATTAACTTACTGGAAAATTAGTTGAGGGATACCATGTCCGTCCTAAAAAGGATATTGCGTTTCACGATTTTCCAAACACGACATCTTTTTTGAGACAAAAAAAATATAATATTACTATCAACAAGTGTGAAACAGAATCATTAATTGGTTTTTGATGAAGTTTTCTCCACGACATAGGGACTTTTCATCAATGCATAAACGTATCTGAGAAGGGAATGATTTTTCCTTGTATATACTTCATGTCACAAAGTCTCCATCCCGACCTATAAGCAGCACTACTTCGGAAAAGTCACAGTAGGAGTAACAAGTCTGTTATAGATTTGGAGACAGCTGGAAAATTGTGGGTCATGCTTTGATTCCGATTTCCGAAGGATGTGAATCGGTCAAAGAAAGCTATAAATTTTACATATGGTTAGATCATTTTGGTCATTACGATTCGGTTTGTTGAAGAATAGTCAGGTTGGACAAAATTTCAACGCACTGTGTAACAAGCGTCATTTGTTCCATATTAAATTCGAATGAGAAAGTGATTGGGTATAAATGTATGAGTATGTAACACTACCCAACAATTTAATCTTTTGAATAAATGGGTGAATGCCCACCTATTACAATTGGTATCAAAGTCAGACTCTGTCTTTAATCCGGTGTCACTCCAAATACCTGATTCGAAATACTTCTGGGTGAGCACACCAGGTAGACATGGTGGCCCGAGCCGCAACGAGAGCGTTGCGATTTGGGTGAAAGAAAATGTAACAAGAGTAATTTATCACATATCGGATTTTAATGAGAAACATAGGATATAAATGGGTAGGTATAAGCTATCCCACCTGTATAGTTGTTACTAGCAAGGATGGAACAACCCAATTAGTCCAAAATTACAAGTCAAATTGGTACGGGAACATTGAGTCAGGCCTGTTTTCTATTTGCACAGAATTGGTATTATAGCAGTTTTCAGTATGACTTGCTAAACGCAATGTTCTTGCCTTTTACACAGCTGATAAGCCACCATACCCAATGCATTACTCTGTCACTAGCCAACAAAGTTTTTACAAAATGAGCCTGGCTTCACTCCTTGGGAAATTTTGGTCCTCATATTTGGATTAAGAAAAAATTTAATTTCTATTTCTACAACACACCTACCCTCTATCAATTCAAACTTTTTATCGACTCTCACCAAGTTTTAGATCAATTGAACAATAAACATCGTCACTTATTATTTGCTGTAATACAAATGCATCAAGTCTGTCACTAGTAGAATTCCAGCCAGTAGAAATTAACCTACCATTCCGTATTTTGTATTGACTGATACAAAAGGTTACTGGATTAATTGATCAAACATGTATCCTGATCCATTAGCTGCCACACGGAAATGTTCTGTACAGGTTTAGCTAGTGACTGCTTGCAAGCAAGAAACGGGTGGCATTGTTGGCCGAGACTTTGATTCAGAATGTAAGCAAACAAATGCCAATGTAACAGCTAGAACAGCATCCCGTGCAAGATTCCACATGCTGGAGCTTGGAGGCATGCATCTAACACATCAATTAGCATTATATTTTGAGTAGACGCTAATGCCAGTGATTGGAGAAGTTTTTCCGGATGCCTTCCTATGAGTGTTTTTAATGCCACAATCCCAAAGTTATAAACATCGAATTTTTCATTCATGACCATGTTGTAGGCAAGTTCTATAAAAACAATAAAGATAATTAATCAATTCATAGAATTTTGGGATGCTCACCTCAAAAGGTAATAAAGAGACATTACTAATCATACCCGTAGTAGTAGTAGTTGTTTTTTATTTTTATTTTTATATATATATATTTTTTTTGTGGGTGGGTGGGGGGTGTTTAATGAAAAAAATGTTGAAATTGCATATAAAAAGAATAGTTCATCTGGTGCAACATATCCATAACTGCCTGCAAGTAAATTTCGCTTTGACGAATCAGGATGCAGTCGTCTAGCTCTGCCAAAATCAGAAACAAACGCCTCCAATTCTGAGTTCAACAGGATGATGCTTCTTGATATGTCTCGGTGAACAATTGGTGGATTGCAATTGTTATGCATATAAGGCAAAGCATGTGCAATGCCTTTAATGGCGTTCACCCTCCTAATCCAATTACTTGTAAATCAAGAACATGCAACAAGTGCATAAACAGAATCCATAAAGATTGACAATGTTCTGATGCCTTTGTTAATATTCGCACCTCATTATTAAAACTCTTGTCGAAAGCTGGTTCCTCGGCTTCTAACTTGTGAAGTTTCTTAAAGGTAACAACTTTGCCACTCGGTGCCTTGTAAACACTGTCATAACCACCAATCTCTCTATGCAGTATCTAATGTCAAAGTCATCTGTTGCTTTAATTATATCTTCATATACAATATGTCAATCATAATTCCACATTGTGAACAAATTTCTGTTCCGTATTGCCCTTTCTTCGGATCGAGTATCTTTCCTTACCTTCTTACGACAGAAGAAAATAGCTGCAAGGATTAAAAAGCCAACGGAAATGATGACAAGCAAAATGATGGCACTGTTGGGATTTATATGCCCTGGCATAGCAAATTCTGATCTGGATTATAGTAACATATGTTTATGACGTTTCTGAAATATTTATACTTTATACAATTGGTGAATTCAATGTATTATGTTTCGATTCATTATAGAATTGATAGTGTCCACTTGATTACAAGAGATATTTATATATGTATGTGATGACGATCAATACATGAATATAAATAATAATCATAAATTATTCATAGTCGGTAATTATAGATAGACTCATAATTAATTAAGACTTAAACTGAATCCGCGCTAGATTGAGATATATTGCGAGAGCCGTCGTATGCAATTGCTCCCTATCACCGTCATAGCATTTGATTCTTAAGTATGAGAAAAGTATAAATTTTTTTATTAATTAATAATTACTTTGATTTGCTTGGCGGATACTTCAGGATCCTTAGACCGACACTTTGGGTAGTTATGTAATTAATAGTTAAAGAGTTATATTTTCAATATTTGCATCATTACTACTTGTATTTATTTTATATTGATTATGGTTGATCACAAAGTAAATTCGAAGGCCTTCGTGTGTTTTTAGACAAAATGGTTTATTATATATTTATTTATTTAAATTATTATTTTTGTCAAACAAATGTTTTATTATGATTAAGTCAGAAATAATCAATGGTACCTAAATAAATATATTAATTAAGTAATATGATTGATGACTTTATTTATCCGATAACTAATTATGCATAGATGGGTCAAAGTGTAACATTGACTTAGAGGTTATTTATTATTTAATTGGAGTTCAATTAATTTCTTTTAGTTGAGTAGAAATTAATTTATGAATTAATTGAATTGAGTCCATGGACCAGGCCAATTATTAATTCATTGTAGCCAATAAAATAATAAGCCCAAAGAATTCTCACTCATAGCCCAATTTGATATTGGAATCCTATTAGTCTTGAGACATGTGAATTAGAGATTGAGAAGGATTTATTATTTCTTTTTCTTTATCTTTATATTGCCTATATATGTACATGGTTTATGTATATTTTAGGGGTGATTTTTGGAAGAAAAAAAAAGGAATCTATTTTCTTTCTCTAGAAAATTAGGGTTAATGTTCTCATCTAATGGAGGCTCCCATAAACCTAATTTTCCAAGGTCATTCATGGAGGCTTATGAGTGATTCCTAAAGGCAAAACAATTACCAAGAAGATGGAGATCCAAGGAGAAGGCATCTTACTAAGGGATCTACAACAAGTGAGAACATTCACTTTAGAGTAAAGATTTAAAGGTTTACTCAGACCTTTGATGTAAGTATTGAATTCATTAATTGAATGATATATCATATTTTATTTTTGCATAAAATTTGTTTCTATGTGATGAATCAAGATCTATGAATTAAAATCCCTAGAAAAGTTTTTAAAACTTGCACGTTTCCCAACAGTGGTATCAAAGCATGGTTTGATTCATTACTAGAGATTATGTTTTTATTAAAATTCATCATTCATGGATCCAATTTTGATATGCATATATTTATTTATTGATGTATGTTGATGTATGAATTAATATATTGATATATATATTGATACATGATGATGTATGTATAATTGTGAATGGATGATAATGTGTGTTTGGGCCATGGATGAAGCTTATAGGTCAATTAAATGTAATTTTATCTTTGGATAAATGTAATTAAGGCTTTGATTTAATCATTTGAAAGTTCAATGATGTAATTTAATTTTTTCCATTGTATTTCAAATTGTAAATTTATTTAAAGCCATGTAATCTTCATCAAATGATGCTATGAAGCTTCAAGAAGGTCCAAGATGGTTGAATTAGGCTTCAAGAATTTTCTGGGATTTTTTAGAATTTTTCTGGAATTTTTAGGGCCTAAATTTAATTTTTGGAAATTTTTATTAATTTTTCTGGAATTATCGGCGGTTTTTCGGTGACTGGAGGCTCGCCGGCGACGAGAGGGATTGCCAGAAGTTGTCTAGGAATCAGGTGTGGCGCGGTATAAATTCATATCAAGCACCTGCACCAAAAACCCTTGGATCTTAGATGGAGGCTAGAAATTATCCAGTGTAGCAGCGCCCATGGTGCACTGAAGA